AAAAAAAAAAAAAAAAAAACTGTCAGTGTGTCTTGTAGAAATTATATACTATAATCTATGTCTATATCTATATAAGGAGAATAATCATTTATTAAAAATAGTAGCATAAAATATAAGGAGAACAATCATTTATTAAAAATAGTAGCAAAAAATTATGGAAACATTTAATGTTTACTTTATTTGGAAAGTTTAAATATATGCATTAAATGCTTTTATTTACACGTTTTCAAATCAAATATCATATGATCAGAAAGATTATTTTCTTAAATAATTTTATTCATCTGCAATAATATTATTGATATCCACTATAATAAACTACAATTCAATTTTTCGTGATTCATGTTGATAATATTTTGGTCAATGTAAACATGAAAACAAACTTTAAGTCTTAACTATATCATTATTTTATTTTTCAAAAATATTGTCTTTCATCCTAAAATATTTATAAACAATCATAAAATATTAAGTAATTTTCTTTTCCAACTAATTAGATAAAATCAATGTTTTCATCTGACTCGGTAATCAGCTGTTACAAGCCTTAAACGTCTTAGGCAACTTAACATAATCACCGACACGGTTCGAAGTCACCCCGGTTCGTATGACAAACCGGCGTAACCATAGAAGACCGAAGTGATCCCTCCCAACCGAGATCAACACGAACTGAGGTCGTTACCTCCTAAGCAGGTGACAAGGCGCCTACACGCCATGCTCACAAACTACGAGATCTGCTATCATTCAAGTAGGACCCACTAATCCTGGCCGCCCACAAAAAGTATCTTTATGGAAAAAGCAACGCATGAATCCCGATATGTATCTCAAAAAGTTACTATAAATAGTGAGCTCATGATACTTGTACGGGATTCGATTCCCGAACCGAACTCCTTAATGATGAAACACGAAACAGCTCACGGAAGTTTTTCACCTTGGTTCACCTCGGACTGGGGCCATTGTTGAGTATTCCATACAAACTTTACGTTCTAATCACCAACAATCATTAAGTAAACCTATCATCAGATCGTTGTTAATAATTGCATAACAACAATCAAGTTGGTAAATTAATATTTGTTGATACTGTTTTTAAATTTTATTTATTTATATAAAAGATAAGTGATATTTTAAATTAAAAATAATTTACCATTTAAAAGATAATGATCAAATACATTAAATAATTTTACTAATTACCAGATAACAAAATTAAAATATATTAACTATTCTTTCAAATTTCAACATGTTATTTTCTTGTATATTATTGCCAAACGTGATATTTTTTTATCTTTTTCTATAATGAATTTATTGTAAAATATATTTCTAGTGCATATAAATAAACTATAAAGTTGTAGGATGAAAATTAAAAAAATCTCTTGATTATATAAGGAATTTATTTTTTCTAAGGGATAACAAATTCCAAGTATCCAACTTCCAAATTCAATCACAAGTTTAACATGCTTAACAGGATAACAAATTATAAATGTGAATACCAATAAGCTATAAATAACAATAGAAAACTAAAACGTTTCTGTCCTTAGATGCAATTTCATTGCTTTAGGTCATATGAGAAAAAGTAAATGGAGATAATAATATAACTAAATAAGCATAGAAGGATGCAATAGTATTTCTAAAGTTTAGTTAATATTACACGGTCAGACAACCAAACCTACCACATACAAGGATGCAATTCCCTGGGGTCTTATTAGTTTAAATTATTATTTTGTTAACTAATATAACTTTTATTAATGCCTAATAAATTAATAATCTATCTATTATCTATCATTTATCTTTTTAATATATTATTTGTTCGGCTGGCTAAAACCGAATCCTAATGGGTTCGGGACCAATACCGAACCGATAAGTATTCAGTAACCGATTATCTGTTACCGTTACACATAAATCGGTTCGATTCGATTTATTTTCTCGTCGGTTCAGTTCAATTTAATTCAATTTATGTTTTCGGTCAAAAAATGCCCCAATATTAACAGAAGATAAGCTAAGTATGAGACTTTGGAAGGTGTGAAACGAAGAGTTGTGGCTTTCCTAGCAACCACTTAACACAGGGAAGGAAATTGAAATAGATAACTGAATAATTTATGATGAGTGGGGTTGAATTGGTGAGAGTGAGTTGAGTTGACCCGCAATTGACCTTTCTCATTTCATTTCTCTAATCTCATTCTTATTAATACTTTCTAGTTTCTACTTACGAATAAATAATAGTAATTATTACGTATTATTCTAATAACAAGAACACACAAACAAGGGCGGATGCATCTCAGTTTTCATTGCAGCGACTACCGTTGCAACATCATCATCATCTTCTTCTTTATTAGTACGCTTACATCTGACTTAATAGTAGCAGCCGCCGCCGCCGCCGCCGCCGCGTACGACCACATTTCAATCAATTGCGGATCACCTGCTCCCACTTCAGCAGCACTCGGTGGCAGGCACTGGCTAGGCGACGACGGTGACCATGACAAGTCCAATTTCTGGGTCAAAGGATCCTCCTTCACCCTCATCAACGCCGAGCTCCCGCTCGCCGTCGATCCAGTTCCCTTCGCCAGCGCCCGCGCCTCCGGCTCCCAATTTTCCTACTCCTTCCGCATCCCCACTCCAGGTCACAAGCTTATCCGCCTTCACTTCCACCCTTGCCTAAATGGAAACTTTCACGGCGACGGCGACTTTTTCACCGTTGAAGCCGGCCCCTTCACCCTCCTCTCCAACTTCAGTCCCTCCGTCGCCGCTCGCGCCCTCGCTCTCTCTACTGTTTCCAAGGAGTTCTGTTTAATCACCACGCTTGAAAACGAGCCCTTCCACATACTTTTCTCCCCGTCCTTGCAGCAAAACCAGAAGAGCACCTATGCTTTTATCAACGGCCTCGAGCTCATCTCGTTACCTCCGGCTCTTTCCTACTGCCACAATGGCGGTGTGCGAGTGCTTGGCCAGAATTCAGTGGTCCAGATTGATAATACCACTGCGCTTGAGACCATTCACCGCCTCAATGTCAGATGGGATTCTGTTCCTTCCGGTGGGTTCGGGAAGTGGGCTACCGTTGTCAACGAAAAAGCGGACGACAAGTTCGATAACAACAATAATAGTATCACCTGGAAAGTATCTGTGGATGTAGGGTTCCGCTACTTGATGAGGCTTCATTTCTCGGAGCTGGGAACGAAAATGGCTGCCAAGGCCAATGATTTCGTGCTTCTCATCAATGACGTGGTTGCGGCAACTGGCTCCGACATGCTCCGAGAGGATGAAGACACCAATTGGTATAAGAATTACATGGTGATGATGCAGGGCCACAAAAGAGAGGGCAAGCGTGATATCTTGATTTCCTTGAGCTCTAAAGATGAGTTGGTGGAGGGATACAATATTCCACTCGAAGGGTTTGAAATATTCAAGCTAAGCAACCATGACAACAGTCTTGCCAGTCCTAATCCTTTGATTCCGACTATAGATTCGACTACCAATGTTATAATCTCAGTCCTGGGTCACAGAAATGCACTTGCAACTCTTGTCATCACTATAATTTGTATGGTAAATGTAATTGTTCATGTGCTGCAGAAGAATTGGGGATCCCAGTTAACGGAGGAGGAACTCAATCCGCCAACCAAGATCAAGCGACTGTGCCGTCACTTTTCTCTAGCTGACGTCCAATCAGCCACCATGAATTTCAACGATGTATTTTCCATTGGAAAAGGTGGATTTGGTAAAGTCTACAAAGGCTTCATAGATAATGGGCCGGAGGCCGTGGCCGTAAAACGATTGAAATCGGGCTCCAAGCAAGGAAAGCTAGAGTTTTGGACAGAGGTTGAAATGCTTTCTGAGCTCCGGCATGTTAATCTGGTCTCCTTGATCGGATATTGCAATGAGCGGCAGGAAATGATTCTTGTTTACGAGTACATGTCCCGTGGAACTCTGGCTGACCACCTTTACAAACTTTCTAGGAAAAACGTTGCCTGTCCTTCTCTCTCGTGGAAGCAACGGCTTAACATCTGCATTGGAGCAGCTCGAGGACTTGACTATCTTCACACAGGTCATGGGATAATACATCGAGATGTAAAGACGTCAAATATCCTACTTGACAAAGATTTTGTGGCCAAGGTTTCAGATTTTGGCTTAGCTAGAACTGAAACTGGAAGCGAGTTGCAAAGTGTAAATCTCAAAGGCACATTTGGTTACTTTGACCCAGATTACATTAAAACTCGTAATCTGACAACAAAAAGTGACATATATTCCTTTGGTGTGGTTTTGTTGGAAGTACTCTGTGGGAGACCAGCGGTGGAGCCATCGGTTGAAGAGGATGAGCGTAGTCTAACCATGTGGGCTCGGGGTAAGATAAGTAATGGAGAACTTGAACAGATTGTAGATCCAAGTATACGAGGGGATATCTCAGAAGATAGCCTGAAAGCATTTTTAAGGGTTGCGGAGAGATGCTTACATGATGAACCGAAGAAAAGGCCGGCAATGGTTAACGTTGTAATAAGACTTGAGTTTGCTCTTAAGCAGCAGGAGAATGCAGAATCTTCGGTACCCAATGAAATAACTAGTGTTGCTGATTTCTTTCCATCTAATGGTAAAGCTGAGCAAACGAACTTCAATTCTCTTGATCAAAACGAGATAACAAATGCGGTTGGCGTGACGTCCCAGGACGAGAACGCAAATTCTTTTGTGCAGAACAAGATGACAAATGTTGACGGTGACAGGGCATTTGCTGCTAAAACTAACCAGGGGATAATAGTATCTTCATTACCTGATGAGATAACTAGTGTTTCCAACACCTTGCCACGTAAGGATAAAGTTAGCTTTTCGGTGGGCACAAAACAAGCAACAATGGCTTCCTTTAATGTGCAAAGTGTTACATCTGTCCTGAAAAATTCTTACAGTGGAATGGTCAGAGGTGAAAAGGGAGATGGAAAAAAGCGCGTGATGCATAAGTTATCACGTCTTTTGCCTTGGAATGCATTTTCAGGCACCAGTAAATCAAAGAAAAAAGGAATGGTATCTGTATCAGGTACTGATTCAGTTAGAATTTGTACATATAATGCTGAAGTTTTAAAAGTCACATTAGTCTTCTGTAGACCTTCATGGTAGTCTAACTAATACTGCAAGCAATTCAATGTTAAGTCGGAAAGCAGCTCGGAAATAAACGAACTATGGTGCCTTGATGTGGATTTATTACAAATTTATTGTGCTGCATGATTGGGTTCAACACAGATGAAAAAAGTACTCGTGATTAAACTGGATAACTATCCTTTTCAAAACTCTAGCAGGAGACTGTAACAGTAACTTTTGTGTTGATGTAGTATCGTGCTGCCTATTATCATTATGATTTTTGTTAGTACAGTCTTTGGACTAATTTGTTTTCTTTCAAGTTAGCCATAAGAGCTTCCAACTTCAGTTTAGCTGATGCAATTAAAAGATCAGTGGTATTAACTTTTAAGTACTGTTTCATTTTTAATTTTTATTTTTGCTAAAGCCATATAAAATTCTCTGGACTTTGTGTATACTTTTTTGCAGCACCTTTATCACATAGGACCATAAGCACGAGGTTAGGAAGCAGCACAACTTATGAGAAGAGAATTCATGAAGGCAATGAGTCGAGTCCCAGTTTAAGGATTTTCACCTTTTCAGAACTGAAGGCTGCCACAAGGAATTTCAGACATGATACATCCCTTGGAGAGGGTGGGTTTGGGGTAGTCTACAAAGGCAGGATCCAGGAGAAATCAAACGGTAATAATGAGAGGGAACACATTGTAGCTGTTAAGAAATTGAGTCGTGAAAGCATGCAGGGCTTCGAAGAGTGGAAGGTATTCATTTACTGCATTATCAGAGTTTCCAAGGGTTGGAAAAATCTGTTAAATATTCATTACAGTTGGAGTTTAGCAATGCTCTACGTGCAAACTGGAAATACTTTGTCAGATTCTCTTTATTGTTGGATTGCATCTTTGACTATATTACTTTTTTTCTACAAGCCTTCGTACTTTAAGTTATATGTCTTAAAGCATTTTTTTTACCAGAGTGCCATCTTACGTGTACAATTATTTGTGCAGGCTGAGGTGAATTTCCTTGGAAAACTTTCTCATCCAAATCTAGTTAAGCTTCTTGGCTATTGTTGCGTTGATAGAGAAAAGTTACTTGTATATGAATTCATGCAAAATGGCAGCTTAGATGACCTTCTTTTCACCAGTAAGGGATCGTACTTCTGTGAGAATGTCAATGATTCATTATTATTTTTTTCACAGCTAATGTTAACTTTTGGTTGTCAGGGACTATTCTGCCTCTTCCATGGGATATTAGGGTAAATATATTAATTGGAGCAGCTCGTGGTCTGGCATTCTTGCATCATGCACAAGTTATCTGCAGAGACTTGAAGCCCTCAAACATACTGCTTGATGAGGTACCATCTCTCTATCTGTGGAAATGCATATTTTTCTCCTCATATGTTTATAATTAAAGACATCACTAATATCATTTTTGTTTAATTGATCTGATATTGAGTCTCAGTCGTACAATGCTAAGCTCTCAGACTTTGGCCTAGCAAAAGATGGTCCAACCCCCGAGTACTCGCATGTGACGACAAGGGTAGTGGGGACATTAGGTTATGCAGCGCCCGAGTACATCGCGACAGGTTTTATTTTATCTTCAGTTCATTCCTACTGAAAGGCATGTAAAGCTAGTGTTGCGATTGTTCTAATGGAATATAGTCTTTATCTTTTACCAGGGCATTTATATGCAAAGAGTGACGTATACAGTTTTGGTGTAATCCTAGCAGTAATGCTCACGGGATTACAGGCGATTGATTATTCACGTCCATCTGGTCAAGGATATTTGGTTGAGTGGGTCAAGCCAAAATTAAGGACAAAATTAAGGAGTGTGATGGATTCACGTTTGGAAGGACGGTATCCTTTAAGGTCTGCGCGTCAAATAGCTCAACTTGCTTTAAGTTGTCTTCAACATGAACCAAAAGGCAGGCCATCAATGGAAGAAATTGTCGAGGTATTGGAAAGAATCGACTCTGCTGTTGGGAAATCTACAAAATTCTAATTATTAAGAAAAGAATCGATCAGATGAAGCATGATAGCTTCACTCCATCTAGTTTCATTAATTGAATTTATGCATAATTCACTTAAAATAGTTATACTTGTAATATCCTCCTAATAAGTTCCATAATCGTCCACAAAAAATTGTCCAGACAAATTATCACAAAAAAAGAATTGTTTGAGTTCTTCCCTTCATATAATAGTGTTCAGTTCTGAAGACATGAAAATTGTAGTGAGATTTCCTGTTTTAATTTCGTATTCTATCTCGTGTCTCACTCCATTGGATACATAACACGTGTTTATGATGTCATAATATCAATACAATTGTTATGAATCCAACGGAATGATATACGAGATGAAATATGAAAATGGAACAGGAAATCTGATCCCATACAAATGGCTGCTGGAAAGAATTGTCGATATCTCTTCCATGTTGAGAAGGACGATAGAAAGTGAGAAAAAAGTGAAAAGCTGAAGACAGGGCAAAAAGAAGAAAACACACACAAAAAAATTGCTATCTATGAAGTTAATTACTGGAAGTTTTGAATCAGTTTCTTTTTTGCTAGTTAATATATTTGCTGCTCAAAACTCTTGCCCTTTGCATCACACACCAAATGCTGCCTAAACATAGCAATGAAGGCCTCAACTCTCTTGTTCAATTCCTCTTTCGAGAGCTCGTCTTCATCTTCTTCCTCTTCATTTACCGTTTTGCCCTCCACTGCTACCTCTGGAAACTCCACCTCCTTTTCATCACAACTTCCGCAATCAACCGAACTCTCAAGTTCCGGCACTTCACTTTCCTCCTTTGCATTCTTCTCCTTCTCGAAATCCGAATTCCGGCTACTTTCTCGATCGGCTCGAACTTTTTGAAACTTTGACATGAAGAGAATGACTAAAAGCAATAGGTTGAGAGCAAGAAAAGCCCATATACGCCAATGCACGAAAACCGACACAAGGATCGCTCGTTGGACACACGCCATGCAAGCAGCCATCCCAGCCGCGAAGCTAACCGCTTGTATTTGATCCTCCTCTCTCTTTCCGTCTCTCGCCATTTTTCTCTCCAGCGCACACAAACACGAACAATCCTTAACTTTGATACAACAAAAAAATGTGGAAATGAAAGAGGGAATTTAACACTGAAAGAGTGTGCTTATATGCGAAGCTCAAGAGTCCTTTTTTTATATTTTGAGGAGAAATCATAAGGAATGATTTTTTGGGCCATCTTTTTTTATGGGCTGGCAAGAGCTGTAATGATGTGAGGAATGAAAGAGACAATAATAAGACATTTTGGGCAGACAATAGACAAGCTTATGATTGCTTCCTAAACATATTTAGTAACAAACTTTTAAGGCATGGGCTTTAGGCGTGCACCGGCTTTTTAGCATGTTAGAAAGGTGTTGTATTCTCAAGAAACAAGTAAAACATTTTTTTAGTTTATTTGGGTTTGAATTACAGAGAATTTCCTTGCTGAAATCATGACATTTAAGAAAATTGATAAGTAATTGTGTTCAGAAGAAAAATGTTCATAAGAAATGTTGATATGGCTCATATATTGACAAAGGAAGGAGGCAGGCTGATGCCTGCGAGCGTAACGGAGCGACCGAGCGAAGTGAGTTGAGTGGAGCGAGCAGGCTGGGTCGATTAGTTGGGCCGGGGGTGCGGGGGCGGGGCCCCCGCGGTACGGTATGGGGTATTTAAGTAAATTTATACCTTGTAGGGTTATAGTATAAATACATGGTGTATTGATGTATTTGAGACTATTGAGAATAATAAAGATCCTTCAGCCGCCGTGAATGTAGGCACATTGGGGAACCACGTAAATCTTATGTTGTTTATTTTTCTCGTTTTTAATTCGTATGTCATATTGTCATCTTCTCTCAACAAGAAAAATGTACATTAGTTTTAGTTTTTGCTAATTTTTTGTCAAGTCCAACATGTCATAATTAGGGTGTTAAACCGAACCGATCAAATTTGCAAAACCGAAATAACGGCATTCTTAATTTACAAACCATAATTGACCGAAAACTGAATTTAAATTGAAAACCGATCGTATTTTGTTCAAAATTGAATTTAAACTGAACGGAAATAATTATTTATTTGATTGGTAGACCGAATTAACCAAATGAAATAATTATTTATCTATTTATTTATATATTTCTTATATTTATAATTTTTGTATATGACTATAACCAACACCAAGTCGAAATAACCAAAAAGAAAGTGAAAAGCGTAGAACCTTGGTTAAAAAAAAAAGAGAGAGAGAGAGAGATTTTCATTAAACATATGAACCAACACATAACCATAGTTTTTGAACCCGGCCCGGTAATCGACCCAGATAGGTCTTCGGGTCATCGGGTCACCGGTTCAACCGCCGGGTCACCAGGTCAATTGCTAAACCGGATAATTAATTTTAAAATTTATAGAATTATATATAGAGTATTTTGTGATATATAAATATACATAAAAATAACAAATTTAAATATTTTGTATGTAAAATTTGTAAATTAAAGTAGTAATAATATGTATATATTTATCATATAAATATATATACATAATTTTATTTTTTAAAAAGAAAAAGAAAATTAAAAAACAAAAATAAAAATAAAAAATACATATAGACCGGGTCAACCGGGTTGACCCAGTCGGGTCAATACCCCAAGTCGACCGGGTCAAGGCCGGGTTAAGGCCGGATTTGACCGGGTCCGTTGTTGCCCGATCCAATTAACCCACTCGGACCAGTTCCGGCTCCGAGTCGACGGGTTCCGGGTTGACCCGCTGGGCCAGTCCGGGTCAACTGCACATAACCGTAATTGCTCCCTTGTAGTCATAATAACTCATGATATAATCATCTATTTTTATTAATAAAGTATTTCTATAAAGATGAATTAGTACAGTACCCATGTAGAACATGGTGTTGAGTTAAAAAATATATGATTAAAGTTATTAATGTCTAATATCAAACATAATTCTAAAGCAAAAATAATATAAAATAACATCACGAATCATAAATTTTCGTCATGGTAACATCCGAAGCGTGAGAAACTGTCACTTAAGTTCAGTACGTTTTGAATTAATATAACAACACTCCTTAAGACTTAATGTACCAATTCAAATATTGAAACTTGTAATAAAGCTCCAAAGCAGTACCTAATGAGAAAGGTAAAAGTTAATTTAATGATGAGACATTAATAACAAGTACTCAGTCGGCCGAGACAGCACGCATGCCTTTTGCCGGAACAAGAAAACTGACATAACATATGAATTGTTTTTGAGTCTTTTGACAATAGTTTTCACGCCTATGCTGCTGCTGCATACAACTGACTACTGAGCCCACATACTCTCAAATCATGTTTTTATTTCTTTGTTTTTATATTCATTGAAAAAAAAAAAATGGTTAAAATGTAGAGGCTATGAAAGTAAATGCTCATCTAGTCATTTAATCTAACATTTGGCTCGTTATACTTTGATAGTTTGTATTATCTTATTTCACTAGTCACTAGTGTTCTGTTGGGATATTTGGCCCAAAACCACTTACCTTATCTCAGGCCCAAGGAAGCCCCGGCCCAATCCCGATTGGGCCTGGCCCTCTTACACACAAGTGGCAGGAATTAATTTGGATCCTTAGATTTAGGGGATTAATCTCAGCCCTCCATCTCTGGCCTTAAATACCTCTCACACTCTAACCCTAAATTAGAACCTTCACTCTCCTCTCTCGTTCACTGCTGCGCCTGTTTTCTCTCTCACTGTGCGACTGAATCTATCTCTTTCTCTCTGTGGGAAAAACTGATCGATACCTTCCTCTCTAAATCCATTCTCCGTGACCCTTTTAGAGTGTGTGAGAGCCGACGTTCACTTGTGTGTCCTCACTGTGCCACCGCGCCGTCGCCCAGCTCACCCCGTCGGCTAAAGCCCTTGTGTGGGGCTTCCGGCGATTCTCAGCGTGAAAGGAGGGGTTAGGCGACGGAGTGGTCGGGTGCGTAGTCGTGTGTAAGAGGAGCAGCCCGGGGATTGGGCTGAGGAACCGGAGCTGCCGTCCGTTGCTCACCACCGAGCCGCTACTTACCGAGGGTGCCGGGTTCAAGGATAATCTGAGCCGGGAGACTTTGTGTCGTTATTATCTGGCCAGATTTCGGTCAAAGGGGGTTTTCTTTCATTTCTCCTTTTATTTCTTATTCCCAACATATTTACTTGATTTGTTCTTGTTAAAGCCACTGAAATTAATTCCTGTAATATTCATTGCTTTGTGCATTTGCATTCAGGTTGATTCGGGGCTGAAAAGGAGCTAAACGGGGCTGTTAAACAGCAAGCTGGGATCAGCCCGGGACCAAAAGAGAGCAGACTCAGAGTCCTGTAGACGAGCAACAAGCCCGGGACTAAGTGAGGACGAGCATTGTGGTCAGACGAGTAAAAGAAGACGAGCTTCCGCTGCGTACGAGTCAAGCGGTGGGAACGGGACGGCCACTTAACAATGGTATCAGAGCCATCCCGCCACCGCAGGTAAGTCGAGCACCTACGTGTTAGGGCTCGCTCTGGTATTGGCTCTAACTCATCTTTTTACCGCTTTCTTATTATTGTAGGCCCTGGACGGGGATTGCGTGCAGGGAATAGGATTATTGTAGCCTCTGGACGAGGATTGCGTCCAGAGAATAGGATTGCGTAGCCCCTGGACGGGAATTGCGTCCAGGGATTAGGATTGCGTGTTGGGAAACTAGCTGCTAGATCAATAAGTTAGATATGCATGCTATGTGTTAAACGTGTTTATCTTTGTTGCTCTGCCTGTGACTATTTTTCTGTGTTTCTAGCATTAAATTGTGTATTTTTTGCTGCTTTGACTGCTTAACTTGGGTGAATTTGTTTCCTGTCGAATTTCTGCTATTTGCTTGAGTCTTTGTGTCTCATTTTGCTGCTGAAAATCAATTTTGCTGGAAACTGCGTGTTTAAACTGCTGAAATTTGATTTGGACTTAATTCTCTGTGAATTTAATTGCTGAAAAATCTGTTTTTG